GTTTAATGGTAAAAAGAAATCAAATAAAATAAAATAAAATAAAATAAAATAAAATAAAATAAAATAAAATAAAAAAGGGACTCTCTCGGTTAATATGTATTTTTAATAACTTGGTATAGAATCCTCTAGCGAAATATTTTTCGAAAGCTATGTGAACGGAAGCAACAGGTATCGTATTTCTATCTATCGATAAACGAGTTTCTCCATTGCGATTTACGAGTTTTTACGAAACAAAAACAAAATAAAAAAAAAGAAGGAAAAAAAACCTAACAAACAAACAAACAAACAATTTTATTTATTTCTTACAGATCAGTTTTACATGTTATTCCCTTTTTTTACCTGTGTGCTTTTTCGCGAGATATATATTTTCAAATTAATTTGTTCATTCATACTTTTTAATAATGAAAAATCTTCTAAAGGAAAGTAATAATCGTCTTGTGAAAAAATTTCAATGCACGTGTTCGTATTTACACAAAATGAAAACGAATTCTTTCTTTCTAAAAAGAAAAAGAAAAAAAAACATTTCTATCTCTCTCTCTCTCTTTCTCTCTCTCTCTCTCTCCTTCTTACTGGTCTATATAGAATCCCGTACAGAACGTAATAATATAAAATTTTATATTGAATTTCGATTATGCATTTGCTTATCGTGCTTTACTCTATTACAAACAATCGTATAACCTAACAAAGTTTGTATTACACGCAATTCATATAGTAATCGAATTGCATGTCATTTTAAAAAAAAAAAAAAAATAATACACTCGTATATTAAATATTATAATTATTATCGATTTTATTATCATAAATAATTACATGAAAATGTGTAACATTATATTTTCGTTATTAAATTTAATTATGTTTTGTTCCCATATCGCAAATCGGTTAAAAATAAAAATTTGCAATTTTTATCTAAAACAAAAAAGTTTAAATGATCTCTGCACTGTGTCAGATAGAAATACACAATAACAAACAGATTATTTCAATGTTATCTCTATTATCAAACGAGATAAGTATTCTTTTATTCTTCTTTTCTATTTTTCTTCTTAGATTTGATTTTTATCGTTTAACTAATTATAAACTAAGATAAGAACTCGTTAAAGCAGAATACGTAAGCCCCATGATTAAAAAAATTATTAATTTCTAATATAATTTATATCTTTGTCTTTTAAAACGTTCTAATTATTTAATTACACAAATTGAATAAACGTAACATATGTGTGTGTGAAATTTGGCAAAATTTAAATTATGACAATGCGATATTGAGTTAACACAAAAAAAAAAATGAAAAACACGAATTTTCTTCTAATTATAATAACTTCAACATTAAATAATGTTAACGTAAAATATTAACAATTAAAAAAACAAAAAGAAAAACTAACCATATATAGATAATAATAATAATAATATTATATAAAATTATATAAAAGACTCGCGTAATATTTATATTTAAATCGACGAATAAGACGACATATACTTTTAAATAAAATAAAACGAAATAAAAAAAGAAATAATTTGAAAAATAGATAGAAACGGTTTTATAAATAGTTGATTTTCAATTCAGCATAGACGACGTCGATTACGTAACCAACATATAAACTGATATATTAACGTGTAAGAGAGAAGAAACGTCAGTCTGCTATTAACTCTCAACAGTGAAACATCTCTTCCATCAATTTGCAATTTTATATTTTAACAATGGAGGATTGGGCTATGATCTTGGCATTGGTGATAGTGATATTAAGTATTTACTATTACGCGTTTAAGGATTTGAATTATTTCAAGAAATTAAATTTACCGTATATCGAACCATGGCCAATATTTGGCAACATGGGCCCAACAATTTTTCGTCAAAAAACTATGGTAGATTTAGTAGTCGATGCTTACAATCGATATCCCAAAGCAAAATACATGGGTTTCTTTGATTTGGGTACACCGGTATATTTCATACGTGATCCGGAATTAATTAAAAAAATTGCTATCAAAAGTTTCGATCATTTCCCGGACCATCGTGGTTTCGTAGACGAAGTACAGGATCCATTATTCGGCAAGAATTTATTTTCATTACGCGGTGACAGATGGAAGGAAGCCAGAACCATGTTGACACCTACGTTTACATTGAGCAAATTAAAAGGCATGTTCAAACTTATGAGCGATTGCGGTGCTGATTTTACCGAATTTTTAGGAAAAATGCCTAAAGAAAAAAGAACGATTGAAATGAAGGACGTATTAACGAGATATACAAACGATGTATTAGCAACTTGTGCATTTGGCATAACTATTAATTCGATGAGAGATAGGAACAATGATTTTTACGTTTTCGGAAAAAAGGCAACTAATTTCGATGGTATTAGATCATTGAAATTTTTCTTATTGAGAAGTTTCCCAAAGATTACGAGATTACTCAATCTTAAATTGATACCCGATAACATTGGTCAATTTTTCGAAAAGGTTGTCAAAGATGTGATAGATACAAGAGACAAATATAACATCGTTAGAACGGATATGATACAATTGATGATGGAAGCTAGAAATAAAAAGGCAGAAATTGGACAAGAATTGCCATTGATCGAAATAGTTGCACAAGCATTAATATTTTTTTTCGGTGGTTTCGATACAGTATCAACGGCAATGTGTTTCACTTGTCACGAAATTGGTGTTAATCCTGATATACAAAAAAGATTGCAAGAAGAGATCGATGATGTTATTGAAAAAACTAATGGAAATTTAACATATGATTCTATTAACAATATGCAATATCTTGATGCAGTGATTAACGAATCCCTTAGGAGATATCCAATTGCAATATTTCTCGACAGAGTATCCATTGACGATTACGAATTACCACCATCATTACCAGACGGCAAACCAATCTTATTGAAAAAGGGATCTAACTTATGGTTCCCAGTTGCTGCATTCCATTACGACGAGAATTATTTTGAAAATCCATACAAATTCGATCCGGAAAGATTCATCGAACGTACCAAAGAGATTAATAATTCTGGTGTTTATTTGCCATTTGGATTGGGACCAAGAATGTGCATTGGTAATAGATTCGCTTTATTGGAAATGAAAGTATTGATATTCCATTTATTGGCTAGGTGTAATTTAAAACCTAATTCGAAAACATTAATTCCAATGCGATTATCGAAAAAAAGTATAAACCTTAACGCCGAGACTGGTTTTTGGATGGATATAGAAGAAAGAAATGATATTCATCCTGCATTGAAAAATTTGCAATCATCTAGTAATAATGTTAATGATAATCATTCTAATAATAACTGTAAAATTGATTCAACTGTTAATGGCGTTAGCAATGGTTGTTGTCCGATTAAAGCTTAATATCTTAACGAAAATAATGAATAATGTTATTAATATAAATTCATCTTTTATAGAGATAATGCGCGTTTTCGTAAGATATTAAATTAATTGAATCTCAATTACGCGTAACATTGTTTAGAAAATTATACAGGCAAATAGAATATTAATAATGTAATTTAATATGTGCTATAATCAAATTGTGATAATCATTTTTTTTTTTTTTTTTAAATAATAACAATATATATATTTAGCGAGATGAAAATAATTGTATCGTGATTAAAACCATTTCTTTTTTTTTTTTATTAAGTTCATACATCTTTACAATTTGTCCGTGGACACATTTAATAAATTGTTAATTTTAAAAAGTAGTAATCATTATTTACGTAAACACACATGATTCATTTGATAAGAAATACACACACAAGCGTAACGACGGAAAAATTGTCTTCATTGTCAAAACATTCTCCGTTTGTTATCTATTGCAATAAGATAAGATTTAACAGTAAATAATGTATTTTTTCAATTTTATAAAACAAAAATTAAATTCAATAACAAAATATTATAAACGTTGAGAACATGTATAATAAAAGTAATAAATTGATTCAATGATTTTAATAACAAATAAAAATTAATATAAACAATAATATTCTTTTCTACACACACAAAATAATACGAGTAAATAATAATTAATTATAATAATTTTTTTAATTTAAAAAAAAAATGGAGAAACGAGACAAAAATAAATATTTCGAAATAACATACACACTAGTCGCAATTTTATATTGAATATTATAAAAGTAAAAGTGGAAATAAGAAAATGTAAACGTTTATATTAACTTTAGAATGTTTGGAATCTAAAAATATATGATCACGTCAGTAACATGGATGGATACTAAAAGAGTACGCAGAAAGAACGTCAGTTGGTTATAATCTCTCGGCAGTGAAACTTGTTTGGTTCTATCTCCCTCTCTCTTTTTATCTTTCTTTGTCTCATTTTTTCTCTCGCACGCAAATAGACGCGCGCGCGCGCGCGTGCACAAACACACACACACACCCACCCATACCCACCTAAACACACCCATTTAGATTACATTACATAGATCTTTTTATTTCCATTAAGTTTTGACTCGTGAAATGGAATTGTCGTGGGCTTGGATAATAGCCATTGTGCTAGTGATAATTAGCACATATTTATATTTGTGGAATGATTATGATTACTTCAAGAAAAGGGGCATACCGTATATAAAATCATGGCCAATATTGGGCAGCTTTGCTCCAGCATTTATAATGTTGAAACCACCGGCCGAATTTATCATCGATATGTACAATCATAATCCTAATGCAAAATACATTGGTTTTTTCGAAACGAATAATCCGGTTGTATTGATACGTGACCCCGAATTAATCAAATTGATTTCGGTTAAGTATTTCGATTATTTCCCGGAACACCGTGGTCTCGTTGAAGAAGGACACGATCCATTATTTGGAAGAAATTTATTTTCGTTACGTGGCGACAAATGGAAAGAAACTAGAATGATGTTGACACCTGCATTTACATTGAGCAAATTAAAGGGCATGTTTAAATTGATGAACGAGTGCGGTGCTGATTTTACAGAATTTTTATCGAAAATGCCAGATCATAAGAAAACAATTGAAATGAAAGACGTATTAACTAGATATACCAACGATGTAATAGCAACTTGTGCATTTGGTATAACTATCAATTCGATGAAAGATCCGGAAAATGAATTTTATATTTGTGGAAGAGAGGCTACGAATTTTGGTCCATTGAGAACATTCCAATTCATTTTGTTACGTAGTTTTCCAATATTATCACGTCTGATCAATATCAAATTCGTATCGGATAAGGTTGCTAATTATTTTGAGAACATTGTCAAAGACGTTATTGACACGAGAGATCAAAATAATATTGTTAGATCGGATATGATACAATTGATGATTGAAGCTAGGGATAAGAGAACTGAATTGGGACAAGAATTACCATTAATAGATATAGTTGCACAGGCATTCAGTTTCTTCTTTAGCGGATTTGATGGTGTTGCTTCTTCAATGTGTTTCACTTGTCACGAGATTTGCGTTAATTTGGATATACAAAAGAGATTACAAAAGGATATTGATGAAATCATTGACAAAACTAATGGAAATCCAACATACGATGATATTAATAATATGCATTATCTTAGTGCTGTGATAAATGAATCACTTAGAAGATATCCTGTTGGTATTATGCACGACAGAGTATGCGTTCAAGATTACGAATTACCGCCAACATTACCAAACTATAAACCATTTATTATAAAAAAAGGCATTAACGTAATGTTCCCAGTTTATGCAATTCATCACGATCCTAAATATTTCGAGGATCCTTACAAATTTAATCCTGAAAGATTCATGGATAATGGCAAAGATATTAATAATTCTGGAACTTATTTCCCATTTGGAATGGGACCTAGAATGTGCATTGCTAATAGATTCGCTATATTGGAAATAAAAGTATTAATTTTTCATTTACTGGCAAGATGTAATTTAAAGCCTTGCTCGAAAACTGTTAATCCGATACAACTTACTAAAACGGGAATACACATGAATTCTGCAAATGGTTTTTGGATTTATTTAGAGGAAAGGAAGGATGCACATCCAGCTGTTAAAAACCTTTTACCCAATAGCAAAATTGATAATAATAATTATAATAATTCTAATGCCACAATTAAAGCAACTACCAATGGCGTTGCCAAATGATCATACGATCACAAAGATTCAAATAATAAATATACATTTAATGATTATCAATGTATTTTACCTTATATTATATAATACATTTTATATATATATACATACGAATGAAATGTTATATGTACCGAATTTCAATTACCTATTTAATATAACACGTAATCGTGTTTCTAATTACACGCAACTATGAGTAGATAATATTCTATATTCGAATTTTATATCATTTTAGAAAATAAGACAAGTGTATCAGTTACCTATTCTACTAAATGTAGAAAATATATATTATTATAAATATTGTTTTTTTTTTTTTTTTCGATACGGCGTCTAATTCTTTTCCATCGAAAAATTCTTGTCATATCAATTTTCTTAATTCAATTATTTTTAAACAATCATTTATATATATACAAAACATATGGTCTCTACATTTTATAACGAATAATAATTTCTTAATTATAAATTATCTTTAATTATGTATATCAAATATTAACGCAGTAAAGTACAATTAACAAGATTAATTGATATACTCTCATAATTGTTTCAATTTATATTTACGTAACAAAACAACATTTTAAAAAAAACCGGAAACCAAAGATAATATTTATTTAAATCTAACAATAGACTAATTTTTACCAATAATACAATAACAGTAAAAGATTAAAACATTATGATTGAACGTAAATAATAACGATTGCGTTGATGTTTTATTAAAATAAAACGATTACGTCAGGAGAATAAATTAATCACACATGTTAGATTAAAATATGAGTTTATGAAAGTAGATATCAGTTTGCTTTAACTTCTCGATGAAGAAACATCTCTCCATCTCTGTCTATTCTACCTCTATCTAGTAGATATTTATCAATTTATTCTAACTCAAGATGGAAACGTGGACAATGATTTTGACCTTGGTGATAGTGATACTGACAATTTATTATTACGTGATATATAACTACAATTATTTCAAGAGAATCGGTTTACCGTATTTAAAACCATGGCCATTATTGGGTAATTTGGGTCCAGCATTATTACGACAAAAAACATTAGCTGATATATCTGTCAATGCTTATAATGTAGATCCTAAGGAAGCAAAATACATTGGTTTTTTCGATACGATTAATCCAGTATTAGTAATTCGTGATTCGGAATTGATAAAAACGATCACGGTTAAACATTTCGATCATTTTCCAAATCATCGTGGTTTCGTTGAGGAAGGACAAGATCTTTTGTTTAGAAAAAATTTATTTGCATTAAAAGACGATAATTGGAAAGAAACAAGAAATATGTTAAGTCCAACGTTTACATTGAGCAAGTTAAAAGGTATGTTTAAATTAATGAACGAATGTGGCATAGATTTTACCGATTATTTATCCAAAATGCCAAAAGAAAAGAAAACATTAGAAATGAAGGATGTTTTCACGAGATATACAAATGACGTAATAGCCACATGCGCATTTGGAATAAGTATAAATTCTATGAGAGATCGTAACAATGATTTTTACGTTAACGGTAGAAAAGCAACTAACTTCGATGGTTTCAAATCATTTTTATTCTTTTTAATGCGTACTTTTCCATTCATAACGACTACGTTTAAAGTCAAATTAATACCAGATGACATAGAAAATTTTTTCATAAACGTTATCAAAGACGTTATCGATACCAGAGAACAAAATAATATCGTACGTGCAGACATGATACAATTAATGATGGAAGCTAGGGATAAGAAAGCTGAAATTGGAGAAGAATTATCTTTGACGGATATGGTGGCACAAGCATTCAGTTTCTTTTTTGGTGGATTCGATAGTGTCGGTTCAGCTATGTGTTTCACTTGTCACGAGATTGGTGTCAATCCTGATATACAAAAGAAATTACAAAAAGAAATCGATGGTGTTATTGTTAAAACTAATGGAAATCCAACTTACGATGCCATTAATAGCATGCAATATTTAGATGCTGTTATTAACGAATCATTACGAAGATATCCCATTGCAGTTTTTCTCGATAGAATGTGCGTTGAAAATTACGAATTACCACCTGCTTTACCAGGTGGCAAACCATTCTTATTAACAAAAGATTGGAATATCTGGATACCAATTTATGGAATTCATCACGATCCTAAATATTACGAAGACCCGTATAAATTCGTACCTGAAAGATTTTTGGAAAAGGGCAAAGAAATAAGTAACTCTGGTTATTACTTGCCCTTCGGATTGGGACCTAGAATGTGTATCGGTAATAGATTTGCTTTACTGGAAATGAAAGTCTTGATTTTTCATTTATTAGCAAGGTGTAATTTAAAACCTTGCTCTAAAACACAAAATCCAATAAAAATATCAAAAAAAGGAATATTTGGTATGACAGCTGAAAAAGGTTTTTGGATGACCTTAGAAGAAAGGGATGATGTTAATCCTTTGATTAAAAATTATATATCTAACAATACTTCTTCCGATGTTAAGACTAATAATGTTAGTAATAATCATACTGCAAAATGCTAATATGTTTAAATATAATAACGAAAAATATGATATCACGATAAATTCATTTATTACATTTTTGTACATTCTACTTCGTTTTATTAACTATAACAGAATATTGTAATTATATCAAATCACATATGGGATTATATTTTATAATTAAATAAATTAATCGTATTAATTAATAATAATATTAGTGTATCAGAAATCTAAATCATATATAAATATTATTTTTATTACAAAAATAAAATGCAGTTACAAGATTAACTATCGTTATTCAACAAAAACATCTCTCTCTCTCTCTCTTTTTATATAATCATATAAAAATCTCTATTTTTATTGAAAATATTATCTCATCGATCGACTGAATTTTATTTTCTCGTCAAGATCACGTGTAAATATTCTCGATTCGATAAGTAAATACATACGTCAATACCCATTAGCGAAAAATTTATTTATACATTGAAAATATTTCCTTTATTAGCGTTAACGCGATAAAATATGAGAGTAAAGTAAATGAAATCCACGTGGAATAACTAATAATCGATACTAGATAACGTAAATAAAAGATAGAAACTTATCAAACATATGCCTTAAGTATCGATCTTCATATTTCTTATCTTTCGAACGAATAACTATAACAAAAGTTTATTATTGTAATTTAATTGACAATAAATTTAACTTAATTAATTTTAATTCGTTTTCTTTGCATAATGAAGAATTAAATTTATATCATTGTTTTAGAAATCGTAAGAATATTGTAATAAAAAAAAAAAGAAAAAAAAAGAGAAACTATATTTGCCTAGGATAAAACAAACTAATAAAACGAGTTACAAAAAAAGTAGTATAAATTTGAATATTAATGATCAAAGAGATATCTACAACAACGACATCATTCAAATCTCAAGCCGCACCTTTAACATGCATGACAATGCGAAAACAATTTGTTTTCTTTATCTAACTAAAGGAAAACATATTAATTATTGCGAAGCTGAATTTCTCTTTCCCGTATAATCATTCTACAAGAAATTATTTGCACATTCTATACAAAAAAAAAGAAAAAAAAAAAAAAATAAAGAAAATAAAAAAATTAATATCAATTAAAAAGGTTTCGGAAAAAAAAGGTCGTATGAAATTGAACAACAAATTGTATCAATTTAAAAAATAAAATGTTTCGTCATATGTCGATAACGCGTTAAGGTTATAACGATTTGTCGATAATTATTGCGTAACGATATGAAATGTTGTTTAAAAATAATCCAAAATGATATTAAATAAAATGAAATAAATAATATCGTAAAAAATTGGAATCTTATAATGGAATAGTTCATTTAACTCCAATAAAATATGATGACGCAAGTAACAGAAATTTCTATTAAAATGGTATATAAACTCGTATAATCGTGTGAGTATACGTCAGTCGTCAAGCAACTCTCGTCAGTTAAACATCTCTGAATCATACTTTATTCTTGTATATCAATCCACTCTGTTTAACTTGAACACAACAAGATGGATACTTGGGCCATGATATTGGCCTTCGTAGCAGTGATATTAAGCATATATTATTACGTATTCAAGGATTTAAGTTATTTTAAGAAAATTGGTTTACCATTTTTGGAACCATGGCCATTATTGGGAAACATGGGATCAGCATTTTTACGTAAGAAAACTATGGCAGATATAACGTTAGATGCATACAATTTAGAACCAAAAGCCAAATACGTTGGTTTCTTCGATTTGGGTAATCCAGTAATAATAATACGTGATCCTGAATTAATAAAAAGCATCGCTGTTAAAAGTTTCGATAGTTTTCCGGATCATCGATCGTTCGTAGACGAAGTACAGGATCCATTATTTGGAAAGAATTTATTTTCATTACGTGGTAACAGGTGGAAGGAAACGAGAACGATGTTGACACCTGCATTTACATTGAGCAAATTAAAGGGTATGTTTAAATTGATGAACGAATGCGGCGCAGATTTTACCGAATTCTTATCGAAAATGCCTAATGATAAGAAAACAATTGAAATGAAAGACGTATTCACTAGATACACCAACGATGTAATAGCAACTTGTGCATTTGGTATAACTATCAATTCGATGAGAGATAGGAACAATGATTTTTACGTTCTTGGTAGAAAAGCCACTAACTTCGATGGTATTGCAACATTGAAATTTTTCTTGATACGTAGTTTCCCATTAATTACTGGTTTATTCAATATCCAACTTATACCGAGTCACATTAGTAACTTTTTCAAAAATGTTGTCAAAGATGTTATCAATACTAGAGAACAAAATAATATTGTACGATCTGATGTGATACAATTGATGATGGAAGCTAGGAAAAAGAAAGCCGAAATGGGACAAGAATTATCATTGATGGATATTGTTGCACAAGCATTCATTTTCTTCTTTGGTGGATTTGACAGTGTCTCGACAGCAATGTGTTTCACTTGTCATGAAATTGGTGTCAATCCTGATATACAAAAAAGATTGCAAGACGAAATCGATGATGTCATTGAAAAAACTAATGGAAATCCAACATATGAATCTTTTAATAACATGCAATACTTGGATGCTGTAATAAACGAATCACTTAGAAGATATCCAATCGTTGTCTTCCTCGATAGGGTTTCTGTTGAGAATTACGAACTACCACCGACATTACCAGGAAGTAAACCTTTCATATTAAAAAAAGGCACGAATATTTGGTTCCCAGTTTACGGGCTACATCACGATCCCAACTATTTCGAAGATCCTTTCAAATTCAATCCTGAAAGATTCATGGAAAATGGAAAAGAAATTGTCAACTCTGGTGTCTATTTGCCATTCGGATTGGGTCCTAGAATGTGCATTGGTAATAGATTTGCTTTAATGGAAATGAAAGTATTGATTTTCCATTTATTAGCAAGGTGCAATCTAAAACCTTCCTCGAAAACCTTGAATCCAATGAGATTATCTAAAAAAGGAATAAGCATGACCGCTGAAAATGGTTTTTGGATGACTTTGGAGGAAAGAAATAATATTCATCCGGCATTGAAAAATTTTGTACATAGTAATACTGGTGATAATATATCTGCTAATGAAATTAGCAATGGTCATGCAGTTAAAGCGTAAAATGTAATCGAAAAATAAAAGTAATTATTGTATTACTATAAATTCGTATATACATCAAATATACATTTGCATATATAAATGTGTAGATAATTATGATTATGTATTAACGATAAATAGAAAGTTTATAAACAATATATTTTTCGTAATAAAATAAATGTTTATAAATTTTCTATTTATCGTTTGTCCATTATCATAATTACCTACACATGTATATGCACATGTTTAAACGAATAGATTGCATTTATATATATAAGCTCGGTATATAAATTTGTTTTAAATGAAATATATAACATCAAATATTTCTTTTTATTGCATTATTTTATAAGCATGGTAAAAAGCTTTGTTTAGATAAATATTATATAAAACTAATCAAATTTTTCTATATATGTATATATACATAATCTTTTCATAAAAATAAACTCTTTTTTATTATTATGTAATGTTACTAATTAAAAAAATGAGTCTGTTATTCGTTTTCATGTTTTCTTTTCTTTTTTTCTTTTCCTTCTTTGATCTATCGTATAAAAAAAAAAAATAATCTAATAAATGTTTGATACGGTACTACACGTCAAATGATAAGTCACGGTCATTTTAATATAGTCTTTATTTCAAAGAAAAATTTATTAACTGTTAGAAAACAAAGTCATTCTCATAATAAAACACAATTTCGTTTAAAAATATTCAATTTTCTTTCTTTTTTTTCACACACACGCTTATATAAACTATAATTCATATTTTAACTATTATTTGCTACTAATTAAAATAACTTTTAAGTAAGCAGAAAAAAAAGTTTCGTTTATAATTTATTAACTAGAATGATAATTAAATAATATCAAAACAAGGGAAAATGTTGCATATTGATTATCATAATAATTTTCCCTATGAATAATAATATATCTTATTTTATAAATAACTACTGATATATAAAAAAGAAAAACATAGAATACAAAATTGTCATATTGAATCAGATTTTAAAATTTATAGGCAAAAGAAAAATCTCGGCATATTTTGATAAATTTACATTCATATACATATAATATACGCGTATAATATATTTTAAAAGTTACTTCCCTGAAAACAAACAAACAAACATACAAACAAAATAAAACACACATCAATATAAATACATTAATAATATTTATTTGAAAATATAAATCTGTTTAATAACCGTATCATCAAAAAATGAAAAACGTCCACTAAAAATAATCAAAATTACAAAATTGTTTTGGTAAAACAACTTTTGGGACAACCGGTAAATACACGAAATAGTTAACGGTACATTCGTTTCCGTTTGAACTGCATCAGGTTTTGCTATATAACCAGGAATCGAAGCGAATGTATTTTATACAAGATTATACCGTTTACTCCGCACTTAATCTACGCTGCTAACATAAATGATATATACATATGTATATATGTACATATGTTTATACACTTATGTATAAATAGGCATAGACAGAATTTTGATTATTATTAATAGTAATGAAACGTGACACGGCATATTCGATAATAATGCGTGGTGTTGCGGCTGAGTGATTCGCTTTTCGGTATTTTCTCCTCTTAATAAAGAGGGTTAGGAAAATAGGGATGAGGGAGTAATACAAGGCTGGAGATTCGAGTGAGTGTTGTTCGAAAACTATAACGGATAAATTATCTTTGCATGTGTCGTTGCGATTAAAATTCGAGAATGAGAAGAGAGTTTGATAGAAATATAATCGATAAGAATTCATGATCAACGTTTGTTCATCCTATTTTTTTACTTTGTTAAACGTATTTAACCAAAAAGAAAAAAAAAGAAATTATATCTGTACGAAACGATGACTATCAAAAACACATTTTATCATCTCATTCCGTTTAATTACATAGACGCAATTTCATTACGATCTAATGATAAACAATAATACGTCGTAGAAGATGCGATTGGTTTCATCTAATCTTATAATAAAAAAGAAAAAAAAAAAATAATAAGTAATAAAAAGAAGATAAAGTTCTCTAATGATAATAAGTACTTTTGTTCTTAGTGATAATTATAAAAAAAGAAAAAAAAAAAAGCAGTGCGAACAACACAATTCGTAGAATCGACTTTATCACGAAAATTCTTATCGCAATTAATCGATTATGTTGACCATGAAGAAGAAATCTGTTTAAATGTGGATGCTCAATAGAATATATATGTATATGTATATATATATATATACTGAGTTACACATCTACGCAATATCTTACATCCATTGACACGTGCATGAGTAATCGTCTAATTGACCAATGAAAAAAAAAACAAACGAAAATCTAGATGTAGGTATGACTAAACTTCTGTCATAATAATTAAAATATCTGGTCAATAAGGAAAAATTGTTGAAACATTAATTATTAATTTATATATTCAATTAATATCATATTATAATGTATTTATACGCGATGATAATTAATTAATTAGCAATTAATAATATACTTATGTTTGCAAGATTAAAAAAATATCGACATTAATAAAATTTAAGCGTTAAACTTCTACGTCATTGGAACGTGTAATTTCATACAAATACATTCATGCAAATTCATATTGTTAAGAAACATATGTATATATTGTGTACACACATGATTAAGATTTTTCTGTTTTCTCTTGTTCGTTATATAAGTATATTATTATTATTCTTCGTGAGTATTTAACAACGTTTTAGAATAGTTAAATTGATCAAACTAGATGATCATAATAAAACACGACAATACCGATGATTATTTAGAAAAAAACAAAGTATACGTTTAATAATTGTAGACTGGACGATATTTTTTCTGAAAAAAAAAAAAAAGATAAAATGAATGATTTTGTAAATGATATATACGAACCGGCTAAAGATCACCATGTTCTTTTTTCATTGAATATTTTTCTCCTTGGGATTCCTTAAGGATAATTAATCAGTTTTATCATTATTATAACATTAAGATGTGTGTGTGTGTGTGTGTGTGTGTTATTTACCTGGCAAGAAAAATATATTTCAAGTCGAGAAAAACGAATATTAAGTTTATTTCTCATTCGAAGAATACATAAACAGCAAATAAAGAATCTTTCATTGCGGGAAATAATATCCGAAAGGTAAACGACAAAATGAGAAWAAAAAAAAAAAAAAGAAAAAAAAAAACAAAAAATACAAATAAATATAAAATAAGATAAAACAAATATATCAACGATTCTCATTATCTCTTATTTTAATAGAAGTAAAAACTTATCTATCTATCTATCTATCTATCGTGATTTCTATTTTCGAAAAAGATGGATAAAGGAATGAACAAAAAAAATAAAAAACAAAATATAATATAATATAATAAGAAGAGAAAAATATATACACTAAACCCCCCTCCCAAGCCCCCACCCCCCTTTACGAACAATTTTATACTTCTTCTTTATACTTTTTTTCTCTTCTTTCATTTGTTTTCTTTTTTCTTTTCTTGCTATTTTTTAATTCTTTTTCTGTAATCAAGCAGAACGAAGTAGCATAACCTTAGGCGAAGCTTGCCCTTTCCCCCAAGGACCGTCGTCCTCTCTCTCTCTTACTCTCTTACTCTCATTCACCTTCTCTCTCTCGTCGTGTCCATGAATTTTATTCTAATAAAATTCCACCGAGAAAAGAATGGATGGTAGCAGCACCAGAACACCAGAAGCGCACCAGAGCACCAGCAACAACAGCTAGTTGTAGACTAGCCGACGAGATGAAATTGAAAAATAATACAAAGAAAAGAGAAAGAAAAGAAAAAAAAACAAAATGAGTGAGTGAGAGAGAGAGAGAGAGAGGAACAGGAGCAAGGGTAACAACGGGGAGGGAGGGGGGTTCATAGAAAAATGAAAAAAAAAATGTAAAAAGAGAGAGAGAGAGAGTAAAACGTCGAAGAAAAATCGAGATCGTGGGTATTCCACCCAGCCCTACCCCCCCCCACCCCTCCCATGGTGGAATGGGTTACTCCTTTACTCGGTTTCACGCTAATTTCCAATGCATGAATATTCCAAAGGTTTCTCGTTCATCGAGTGGACGGTGGCAACGACGACTATGACGATAAAAAGGAGGAGCAGGGGGGAGGTAGTGGGGAGGGGAAGGGGATCGAGGAAAAGGTGAAGGAGAAGAAGAAGAAGAAGAAGGAAAATGACGAAGATGAGGTCTCGAACAAAAATCGATCCTTTGGCGGACTGTAGAAAGCATCTTTGAGGGAATCTGCTAGCAAACCTTCCATCTCTCTCTCTCTCTCTCTCTCTCTCTTCCTTCCCCTTTCTTGTCTCCACCCTCTCACTCTCTTTCTCTCTCTTTCTCTTTCATTAAAGAGGCATTCACAAGGTCGTATCGCAAACCACGTCTTTCTCTCTCTCTCTTTCTCTCTATTTCTCTCTCTATCTCTATCTCACTCTCTCTCTATCTATCTTTCTCCATAAGAACGGCCAATCACGTAGTCTGAATACATTATACGGCTGTTATCCAGAGTGCAACTGTACGGTTACGTGCGAGCCATACATATGTGAGTATGTATGCATGTGTATATATGCATTTATGTACGTATGTATGCATGCATGTATGTATATATGCATTTATGTACGTATGTATGCATGTATCATATATATGCATTTATATACGTATGTATGCATTTATATATGTATGTATGTATCGTGAGTCTATTCAGACAAGAATTAATGCCACGACTGGCACGTATCCGTACGTTTGATGCCTGGCTGACGCCACCAACATGATGCCAACACCTTGCGCATCTTTCTTCTTTCAGGTGGAGTAGTCGTGGGTGGGGAGGGGCGGTGGAAAGAAAAAAGATAGGAGAAAATAATGAGAGAGATATATATATATATATATATATGGGAAGGGATAGAAAAAATTTATGAGACGAAACGTGATGGAATAAATGAATTACCTAACACATACAAAAGAAAGAAATATGTATTTAAATATATTATATACATATATGTTTATTTATTTATTTATTTATTTATTTAATTTAATATGTTTGAGACAATAATTATGAAAGTGTGGATTATTTAGTCGAATGAAAATTGATTTATATGTTTGTAATCATTATGATAAATTTGTTGAAAAATTATATTGAATTGGTGTAGAACTTTAATAATAATCAATAACGTATTATTGTTTGTCGAAAGACTATGATTATAAAT